GGACTATTAGAGCATGATTAACCCGGAGTTCTTATGGTGGGGTCTTAGCGGAAGTTAAGAAACAGTTTCTTAACTTCCGCTAAGAACCCCACCATAAGAACTCCGGGTTAGTCATTGTCTTACAAATGATAACGTATTTGCACATACCTGACGTTCCGGATTTCGCTATGGTACCAAGGTTCTTAATCAGATCTTCCTTACTCATTCCAATTCCCCGGTCACGAATAGAAAGTATCTTCTTGGCTTTATCTAGCTTAATCTGCAAATCATTACGTTATTAGAAAACTCAAAGACCCCTCTCAAACCCCAAAGTACAAATTATAAGCCATCTACTAACCTGGATCTCAAGCTTAGCAGTGTCACCTTCACCCAAAACATCTTTATCAGTGAGTGCAAGGAACCTAATCTTATCCAAAGCCTGAAAAAAATTCACAAACACATACACTTAATTAGCTCCTTGTCATAAAATCAATAAACATGTTAAACATGTCAGGCTTACGTCAGAAGCATTAGAGATCAACTCTCTCAAGAAAATATCCTTGTTACTGTATAGAGAGTTGATGATAATGTCCATAAGCCGTGAAACCTCAGCTTGGAACTCAAACTTCTCCGCGCCACTGCGAAGTGACTTCTTTGATATGGACTCAGACTCTCTGTTAATTAAACAAATTCAAAATCAGGCGAGAGATTAATAAAATAAAATATCGAATGTTTGAGACTAACCTATGAACGACATCTGAATCAGTCGATAAACCGCCGTGACCACCAAGTTTCTCTTCCACCTTCGGTGGATCTGTAGCCTCGTTGGAACTATCGTCTGCATTTGCGTGTATCTTTCTTCCTAATGATATAATACAATAGAAACCTCAACATTATACACTAACGTTACCAAACCGAGTAATATACAACGCATTACGCGTTAGATCGTACCTTGATCTGGAAGAAGGAAGAGAAGGGAGAAAAGGAACAACACGGACACCATCGTCCTCTTCCTCATTGTTATGATCGTATAACCTTCGATACTTCTCAGACTCACTCACTGATGATGATGGTTCAGCTCGAAGACGAAGAGATCCGTAAAATACGAAATTTCAATTGCGTACACTTCGGTTCGGTTCATGAGATTAACGTGGCAGCTCTAACGGCTTTAGTTTTTTTTTTTTTTTGAGAAAGCCACGTGGGCGTGTTCTGTTGGAAAAAGCTTTTGAATTTGACGTGGATGGACGACTTGGATAATCTAACTCGAAAGTTATACACGTGGACGTCCTTGTTGGACGATCGGACGGCTATTTTGATTGTAATACACGTGGCAATGGATTATTGGATGTTAGGGTTTAATGACGTCGGGCTTCCAAAGCTAAAATGATTTTCTGGATGATTCTTCCTCTACTTCCCCACGTTTACGTTTGGCTACTTTGATATTGCTGTTCTGATTGGGCATAAGATTTGAAATGCTTAGGTATTCTTATTATTTGTTCTGATCACCGTCACTTTAAGGTTGTGGATGAAATCTGTAAGTCTCTTTAGCATCATCACCAAAGTAGTCTCAAGAGTTGTAATTCGTGTTAGAGCATCTCCAATGTAAAACTCTATTTTTCCTCCAAACTGGAGTAAAATAGAATATGAAGTAAAAATGCTCCAACCCCATTTTATTTTCTACTCTATAATGAAGTGATGAACAAACAAAAAACAGATTGGTTGAAATTTTTTTTTCTTTTTATCTGAAAAAATAATTAAAAAAAAATCAAAAAATCATTTTTCTAAGGATACTTGAGTAACACCATTGCTCTTGCTCTTAGTTGCTTAGATTAATGAACCCTAGGTAATAAAAGAGTTGTGTATTTTGCATGAATGTTTGGTTACTCATAGTCTCTATTGTCCCAATCCTTTATGCTGAGTTATAAAATGCATGTTTGGTCAAGCTTTTCTGATTGCTAATATGATTTTACAGTAGCTAGCACAATCCATAGCCCGACTGTAGCTATGCAATAATAGAAGCTGGTAAGAGAATCTTTAATCTAATAAATACAATATTATTCCAATATTAGTTGAGAGTTGAGACCAACTTTTAGTCGGCAAGTTCATGCGTGTGTAAGATATAAACTTCTATAATATATACTTTTTATTCACAAAATAAAAGACTAAAAAGACAAACCCCACACGGTTCTCTCGAGTATACAACATTACATCATCTCTTACCTTCTTTCTTCTCTTATCACCGATCTGATCAAGAAAATGAGTTGGTGGTGGGCAGGCGCCATTGGAGCTGCCAAGGTAAAAATATTCAACTCCGATCTTAATGTTCTTCTCCTCCTCACACACTCACTAATCTAACAAAAAAAAAAATCTCATCAATTTCTGCAGAAAAAGTTCGACGAAGATGAACCAACACAAACCTACGAGAGCGTCGCACTCATCATCGGCGTCACAGGCATCGTCGGAAACAGCCTCGCCGAAATCCTCCCTCTCTCCGACACTCCCGGCGGTCCATGGAAAGTCTACGGCGTCGCTCGCCGTCCTCGTCCCGCCTGGAACTCCGACCACCCCATCGAATACATCCAGTGCGATGTCTCCGACGCCGAAGACGCGAGATCGAAGCTTTCTCCTCTAAAAGACGTCACGCACGTGTTCTACGTCACGTGGACCAACCGCTCCGAGGAGGTGGAGAATTGTAAGGTCAACGGGTCTATGCTCCGTAATGTTCTCCGCGCGGTTGTACCAAACGCGCCGAATCTCAGGCACGTTTGTCTCCAGACGGGGATGAAGCATTACCTTGGTCCTTTTGATTGTGTTGGTAAAGATGTTGAGCGTCACGAGGCGCCTTTCACTGAGGATATGCCGAGGTTGAAGGTTGAGAATTTTTATTACACTCTTGAGGATGTTTTGTCTGAAGAGATTAAGGTGAAAGGAGAGAGTGTGACTTGGTCTGTGCATAGACCAAACACTATTTTTGGATTCTCTCCTTATAGTTTGATGAACATTGTGGGGACTCTCTGCGTCTACGCAGCTATCTGCAAGCAGGAGGGGTCTAAGTTAGTTTTCCCGGGGAGCAAGGAGGCGTGGGAAGGTTTCACGACGGCCTCGGACGCGGACTTGATCGCTGAGCAGCAGATTTGGGCTGCGGTTGATCCTTATGCAAAGAACGAGGCGTTTAATTGTAGCAACGCTGATGTTTTCAAGTGGAAACATCTGTGGAAGATACTTGCTGAGCAGTTTGGGATTGAGGAGTATGGGTTTGAGGAAGGGAAGAATGTGGGTTTGGTGGAGATGATGAAAGGGAAAGAGAGAGTGTGGGAGGAGATGGTGAAGGAGAATCAGTTGCAGGAGAAGAAGCTTGATGAGGTTGGTGTGTGGTGGTTTGCTGATGTTGTACTTGGTGTTGATGGGATGGTTGATAGTATGAATAAGAGTAAAGAGTATGGGTTTCTTGGTTTTAGGAACTCTAACAACTCTTTTATGTCTTGGATTGATAAGTACAAGGCTTTCAAGATTGTGCCTTGATTCATCTTCCATTCAATCTACACTTGAATGGTTCTCTGGTCTCTGGTCTCTTCTTCGTTTCATGTTTATGTATGTTTCTTTCAAAGTCTCAGTTCTTTCTTGTTTCAAAAAGTATAAAATAAAAGCCGATTTCACTTTTTTCTTGTAAACACTTTTGAAATTCTACCATATTGGAACAGTTTACGCATTAGAACCACTACAAGTTGTAATAAAAATAATATTGGACAATGCTGCAGCAGCATTAAGGCTAATGGGAAACACCTGTCTTGGAATTGCTCGCTGTGGTTCCACAAGTGGTGGTATCTATTGGTCGCATAGTGAAATTGTTAGCCGCTTTTAAACCGTAACAGGGTAAACAGGTGTAACGTAGTATCAAAACCAAAGGCAACTACTATAAGTTCCTTTGCTTGATTCATAGATCTTAGCATTATCTAACACTTTCATAAACCAACCAAGCCACATATTTACTGCATTTGTGACTATCTTTGAGAAATATATTGTTTGTCTGCAAAAAAGAATAGGTTTGCCTTTGTATTCCCAAAAGATGCTTCTTCAAGCCTTGCCTGTTTAAACACTGGATTCACCTTTCCCTTTAAACTGTTTCTTACACGAGTTAGCCTGCAGTTAGAACACAGGGTTCTTGGTAAGTTGTATAGCTGACTTGCTGTCGATCTTGATGATCACTCTCTCCGTCTTCCAGCCTGTGATCTCACTCAGTAGGTCTTTGAGCCATATGGCTTGCCGTGCAGCTTCCGTTGCAGCCATAAACTCTGCTTCACATGAAGAGAGTGCAACAGTGTCCTGTTTTTGCGAACACCAAGTAATTGGTGAACTTCCGAAGTTCTGAGGCAAATCAATAAAGAGAGCAAGTTCTTTATAGTTTCTGAGATTATCGTTTCACTTTATTTGGTATCAGAGCACAACACCGCAGTCGTATGGTTAAGGCTCCAGCAATCAATGGCCTCTAAGCTATAAGTAATGGAGGACACGAGGTGCTGGAGAGAGGGAATCTTGTGAGGCTCCATCATAATTTTTCTCGTCTCGCTTTCAGAAGCCTCAAAAAGAACGTTGTGTTTGTGAAGGTTACCCATGCTCTCCACCGCCCATAGCACAGCATATAAATTGGCTTCCTCTTTAGAGTGAATATAAGAGTAAGCTCGATGGGGCCAACAAAGTTTTTCTCGAACTTCGAAATAACAGTTTTTATGTGGATTATTTAGTCTAAAATGAAAATAAAGAAATGGAATGTGATTCACATGATGTGATACAAAAAAAAAAAAAAAAACGCGGGTGGGCTTTAGAAATCCAGCGGCCCATGCATCTTCACTCTCCTTCTAGAAACTTCATCTTGGTCCCACAATTGTTTCCTCACTTGTCTTCACCTTCCTCTTATCTTCTTCTTCGTCTCCTCTCCTATATCTCCTCCTTCCTTCCTTCCTTAGGGTTTTTCTCCATCTCCTTTCCTGTCTCACTTCCCTCACTGCTACTAGTCTCGAAAAATGGCTTCCTCCGCCGCCCAGATTCACATCCTCGGCGGAATCGGATTCGCCACCACATCCTCCAAAAGAAACCTCAACGCTAAATCCACTTCTCTCCCCAGAACCGCCTTCTTCGGCACAAGAACCAATCCCTTCTCCACCCCTACCTCCGCCTTCCTCAGAATAAACACCAGAAACGCCTCTAGATACTCTGTAGGTCCTCTCCGCGTGGTTAACGAGAAAGTCGTCGGAATCGATTTAGGCACGACAAACTCCGCCGTAGCTGCAATGGAAGGAGGCAAGCCGACGATCGTCACCAACGCCGAAGGCCAGAGAACGACTCCCTCCGTGGTGGCTTACACCAAGAGCGGTGATCGCCTCGTCGGGCAGATTGCGAAGAGGCAAGCAGTTGTTAACCCGGAGAACACATTCTTCTCGGTGAAGAGGTTTATCGGAAGGAGGATGAGTGAGGTAGATGAAGAAGCTAAGCAGGTTTCGTATAGAGTTGTGAAAGATGAGAATGGGAATGTTAAGCTTGAGTGTCCTGCTATTGGTAAACAGTTTGCTGCTGAGGAGATTTCTGCTCAGGTACTCACTTTTTGTTTGTTACGATTCTGTTGAGTAGTTTGTTGCGATTCTCTTGAGTAGTTTGTTGAGATTATGTTGAGGAGTTTGTGCTGTGTGTGGATTGTTTCTTATGGGGTTTGGTTGTGCGTTTGTAGGTTTTGAGGAAGCTTGTGGATGATGCTTCGAGGTTTTTGAATGAGAAAGTGACCAAGGCTGTTGTTACTGTGCCTGCTTACTTTAATGACTCGCAGAGGACGGCTACGAAAGATGCTGGTAGGATTGCTGGGTTGGAGGTTCTTCGTATTATTAATGAGCCTACGGCTGCTTCGTTAGCTTATGGGTTTGAGAGGAAAAGTAATGAAACAATTTTGGTGTTTGATCTTGGTGGTGGTACCTTTGATGTCTCAGGTACCTGGCATTGAATTCTCTATGGTCTTATTCTCTTGGTTTCTACTAGAGATGTCAAATGGGCGGATTGTCCATGGACGGTCCGTGTCCAAATTGATATGGGTTAATATGGACACATCCATATTAGACCAAATTTAAATGGGTTTAAATGGGTGAAGTCCAATTGCACTATGGACAAAACCGGGTTTGACCATGTGGACATTGGGCCGCCCAAATAACTAAAATATTTAGGTTTAAGGAATTAGGAAAAAAATATAATTTTATTTTGTCTTGTTAAAATCAATAAATCAATATATTTTTTTCAAAATCATAAAATTGTGTGTCCTACCAAAATCGTAAGATTGCATTCTTTCGCCCAATCCACAAGTAATTTTTTTCCTATAAATCGTGTTTTTGTCAAAACCACAAAATTATGTTTTTCTGCCAAAACAGCTAAATCATGTTTTTGTCAAAATTACAAAATTGTTTTCCCACCAAAATCGTAAAATCATGTTTTTTTGTCAAAATCTCAAAACCATGTTTTTCCACCAAAACTGCAAAATCGTTTTTTCCCGCCAAAATTGAAAAATCATGTTTTTCCGCCAAAACCGCACAATTATGTGTCTTACCAAAATCGCACGCTTGCCCGTCCAATCCGCAAAATTATATTTTTCCCCCGCAAATCATGTTTTACGACAAAATCACAAAATCATATTTTTTCCTATCAAAATCGTAAAATCATGTATTTCGTCAAATTTCAACTTTCTATTATGTGAACTTGTGTTTATGTGTTTGAACTTATCTTCAATGTTGTGAACTTGTGCATTTTTATAATTTTGAAACATGAAATTTAATGAAATTTAAGTCTATGACATCTTTAAAGTTGAAAACTTAAGAATCCTATAAACTTATAATACGTAAACTTATAAAACACATAACTTATAAAACTAAAAATTATGTTGTTTACATTAAGTGGATGAGGTCCATGGACAACCCAACAAATCATGGTCTTATTTGGTTATGGTTCTATTTGGACATGGTCTTATTTGGGCATAGACCAAATATGTCCAGCAAAAAAATTAAGCCCATACGGACACACCCAAACCCACCCAACCCGCCCATTTGACATTACTAGTTTCTACTGATTCGATATATTAGCATCTTATGATATGTTTTTTTATTTGTTATTATGTAGTGCTTGAGGTTGGTGATGGTGTGTTTGAAGTGCTTTCCACTTCTGGTGACACGCATTTGGGTGGTGATGACTTTGACAAGGTGAGTTAATCGAAGCGCTTTGAAATTTTGTCAACTCTTTCTTCTGAGCTTTATTTGATAGATTTAAGTTTTGAAATGCAGAGAGTTGTTGATTGGCTTGCTTCAAATTTCAAGAAGGATGAAGGTATTGATCTTCTGAAAGACAAGCAAGCACTCCAGAGGCTGACAGAAGCAGCGGAAAAGGCTAAAATCGAGCTTTCTTCGCTGACTCAGACAAATATGAGGTACAGTTACTTTTTATCGCCCTCGCCCAAATCTTTTACTTAGGTACTTTCACAGTATATAGATTCTGATTGGTATGAGTTCTATGTCCAGTCTGCCATTTATCACAGCCACAGCTGATGGGCCTAAACACATAGAAACCACGCTCACACGTGCCAAGTTTGAAGAATTGTGTTCAGATTTACTTGACAGGTAACCACCAGCACTCGTCATTCCCTCTTTGTTACAGTTCTATGGAAACTAGTCATGGAGTCTCACATTGTGTATTCTTATCCATGTATGATGTATATATCTCATAGGTGTAAGACTCCCGTTGAAAATTCCTTGAGGGATGCAAAGCTCAGCTTCAGTGATATTGACGAAGTGATCCTTGTTGGTGGATCAACACGTATTCCTGCTGTTCAGGAAGTCGTGAGGAAGTTGACTGGGAAAGAACCTAATGTCACAGTAAACCCTGATGAGGTTGTAGCTCTAGGTGCTGCAGTCCAGGTTAGCTCTCGTGAACTTCTACCTTCCACCTTGTGTAGGTCTCGACTATTTCAAACATGGTTTATGTGTAAACATCAGAACAAATTCAAAAAATATTTACAGTAAACAAAGAAAATTTAATCATTTTTTTGGCAATAAGTTTATTGAGTCCTCATCAAGCGCCTTTCTCTTTTGATTCCAGGCTGGTGTTCTGGCTGGAGATGTGAGTGACATTGTTCTTCTTGACGTGACACCGCTTTCGATTGGTCTGGAGACTCTTGGTGGTGTTATGACTAAGATTATTCCAAGGAACTCAACTCTGCCTACTTCTAAATCAGAAGTTTTCTCGACTGCTGCGGATGGACAGACAAGTGTTGAGATCAATGTGCTGCAGGGTGAGAGAGAGTTTGTCCGGGATAACAAATCTCTTGGCAGCTTCCGTCTGGATGGTATCCCACCGGCACCACGTGGAGTTCCACAAATTGAAGTCAAGTTTGACATTGATGCAAATGGTATCCTCTCAGTCAGTGCTAGTGACAAAGGCACTGGAAAGAAACAAGACATTACCATTACTGGTGCCAGTACATTGCCCAAGGACGAGGTTCGTATAGTTTACAAACCAAACCACATATTCGATTATTTTGATAGTTATGGTAACAAACGGTTGGTGTGAATGAACATTACAGGTAGAGCAAATGGTGCAAGAAGCAGAAAGGTTTGCGAAAGATGACAAAGAGAAGAGGGATGCAATTGACACAAAGAACCAGGCGGATTCTGTTGTTTACCAGACAGAGAAGCAACTTAAAGAACTTGGAGAGAAGATTCCAGGTGAAGTGAAAGAGAAGGTGGAGGCGAAGCTACAAGAGCTTAAAGACAAGATTGGGAGCGGATCAACACAAGAAATCAAGGACACCATGGCTGCTCTTAACCAAGAAGTAATGCAGATTGGTCAGTCTATGTACAACCAGCCTGGTGCTGGAGCTGGGGCAGGTTCTTCACCTCCAGGTGAAGGTGATTCAGCTGCAAATTCATCGTCAAGCAAAGGTGGCGATGATGTGATCGATGCTGACTTCACTGACGGCAAATGAGAAAATCCAGTTTGGATGGTTGAGATGAAGTGATAGATATTGACACACCGCAAATTAGAAAATGAACTTTTGGATGCAGGGGCGAAGCTATTTTATAAACTATGTGCACTTACTTGTATCTACAGTATTTTGAAAATTTAGTGTATTTTAGAATTTATTTGTTTATGTGCACCCACTAGAGTTTTCAAGTATGCACTCAGATAAATTCAAAAGGAAAAAAGAAATTAAAGTCACTCACTATTGTAAAAATAAAGATAGTTATCTTTGGAAAATAAATTAACCTGATTATGGGAGATTAGGCCGTAAACGAAGATGTATATATATATTCCAAAGAGTGAGTACAAAGTTACAGAGACAACTTCCACAGAAAAACACTTCGCGACCATATATTAAACATGCATCATTTTGTAATAGGACCCAAAGATATGGGCGATACCTTGCGATAGAGGCTAAGTGTCACGAGAGATGACCGTTTTGCTTCACCATCAGCAGCTCCTCCTTCTCATTTAAAAGCACCAGAAGATAATTTTGTTAGGGACTCAAATATGAGACAGAATAAAAAAAAAAAAATTGTCATGAGAATTTTGTATTGTCATTTTTCGGATGCTTCTGTCTTACTTAGGTTTTAAGGCAATCTTTGAAGCTCTCAATAATGTTTATCATCATGAAGGGAATAGACCTGCTAGAGTTGAAGCATCCCGCATTCTATTATCTCCCATTCTTCGGACCTGTCTACAAGTGAATACTCGAACTGGATCTCGAACTCAAAAACAAGCTCGGTGGAAGTCATCTCCTCTGTTTCAACCTCAACCTCGAATGCGTACAGATGCCCCCCAAAAACCTGTTCTGCTATTCTAAAACAAGTATTGAGATCATTCCCTCCGGAGGTGATTCTACAACAGAGATATGCTCTTCGCCAACATCTTAAGTCATTTTCGTCCACATCGCCAGGTAATATGATGCAAGCCTTAAATTTGGTTGACTTACCAAGAGGCTTTTGATTTAACTTCACAGTCAAGGAACTCCCAGATGATCGGTCCGTAAAGCACTCAGGAACTTCTTCAGCGGGAAAGACTACATATTCATTGGTCAAATTCCGGATGATGAGATCTCTTGCTTTTTGATTTAGTTTGAAGCAGTTACGGAAATTGAGACGAATATCCGGATTTCGAAAGGAGCCATTTAGACTCTCTAGGGACTCACAAATTTCTGCATCTAGTTTACACAGTGAATCGGGAAGGTGCGGGAGTGATACCAACCTCTTCATTCCATTTAGTGCAAGGTGATGTAGACCAGATAATGAGGAAGGAAGCTCCACCATACTTGTGCAATGACTGAGATTCAATTTTTGGAGATTAGTTCAATTCCCAATAGAAGAAGGGAGCTCCAACAAGCTTGAACAACCACTGAGATTCAGTTCATGAAGATTTTTTACATTCCCAATAGAGGAAGGTAGCTCCACCAAACTTGAGCAAACACCGAGATTCAGTTCTTGAAGATTAGTTAAATTCCCAATAGAGGAAGGGAGATCCATAAAATTTGAGCAATGACTGAGTTTCAATTTTCTGAGATTAATTGCATTCCCAACTGAGTATGGGAGCTTCACCAGGCTTGAGCAATAGCTGAGATTCAAGTCATATAGATTAGTGGCAGTTGAGAGATCTGGAAGCTCTTCCAAAATTTCTGAACTACTCAAATCCATCCACTTGAGATTGTTGAGCGGCTGCAATGACAAATAACACATAAAGAAAAATTGGTTAGATGCCTTAACTTAAGCAGTTATATATTCAAATATAAAATATTACTTACTTTTGTTTCTTCCCACAGTTTCTTAAGTTTGCTATTCCTCATCTCTAGTTTGACTAGGAATTTTGGATTAAAAGTTGAAGGGAAACATGTCATCGTGGATTCATACCAAATTAGTACTCTAAGTTTTTGGGATATGTGGTTCATACTTTGTGGACTAACGCCTTTGCCAAGTATTCTAAGGAATTGAAGATTAGTCAATCTTTCAAAGGCTCTTTCACTTGTCCATGTTATTTCCTGAAAAGTCCCAATAGTAAATCCTATGACGCTGCTACTTTCCTGTAAAACAACCCAATGAAACATAAATAAAGATGGTTAGTTATTAAATAAATCTCTTAACTTGTAGAGCGCATGCAATGAAGATACGAAAGTCACAACTTACTGCTCTATCATCACTCAATACTTCATCAACATCAATTGCATCAGTCAAAAATTGGCGTTTTCCAGGCTCATCAACCGATTGTTCTCGCACAATTTTTCTTCCCAGTTCAACTAGCAACTTTGCCATCTCTATTTCTCCCAAAAACACAGATATGAGAGATTTTTCAGTTAAGACGCGAAGCCCATGTCTCACATCCAAAAAACATTTTGTTAGACAGCCTTCCACTATATCAATCTTCTCACCGTTGAAAAAGATGGCTATATGAAGAAATAAACGTTTATCTTCATGACATAAGGAATCATAACTAAACTTTAAAATGCTTGCAATTTCTCCATCTCTATCAAGGTGTTCCTGTAACTTTGGTAATGCCTCTCTCCAATCTTGCTCGGACATTCCCCGAAAATATGAGCCCATAACTTTTAGCCCCAGTGGAAGTCCACCTACAAGATCCCTAACTTTACAAGCAAGCTCCTGGAAACCATCCTTTGGGTATTTCTGATCAAAAGCGTACATGCAGAACATTTGGAGAGCTTCATCATATGATGGTAAATTCACCTTGTGTATATGCTTGACCCCACTTGCTTTTAAAACCTTTTGATCTTGTGTAGTGATTATAATCCGACTCCCCGGACCAAACCAGTAAGTTTCTTTTGCCATGGCTTCCACTTGTTCTAAATGATCCACATCATCAAGGACGACAAGAACTTTCGTGTTTTGCAACCTGTCTTGGATGATTCCCAAATGCAAAACACTGACACATGTGTCGTTGGTTAGCTGAGACATAAGCTGCTTATGTAATTCCAACTTCACTTTGTAGTTATCGGAACAAGCTGCTATTGCATACTTTCTTTTGATATTATCCATAAATGCACTCAGTTGGAAATCTTTGGAGTGTCGGTTGAACAAAGATCTAGCAATGGTGGTCTTACCAATCCCAGGCAGACCCCAAATCCCTATTTTTCTCACCTCATCTGAATCTAGCTGTAAAAGTGATTCCAATTTTGTCAAATGAGATTCCATCCCAACTAAGCCATCAAAATCACTGGATGGTGCTGAAAGGTTCAACTTGTTTGAAACATCAGTGGCAATAGCTGAAATCATCTCTGCTTCATTCTTCCTGAAAAAAGGAGATGATAAAAAAATTAGTTATATAGTCATAAAAAAAAAATTCCGTACTACTATATATTCAAAGAAAGAAAGAAAGCAACACTTGTTCGATCATTGATGTGTTTAAAGCAATATATATGTACAGAGGTCATTGATGTGTTAGAAAGATTAAGAGCAAGTGGGAGTGAAGAGAACGAACCAGTTTTTTGAATGGTAACCTGCGATTTGAGCCACTTCGGTCAAAGCATGTTTCCATCTTCGTATCTCCTCCTTTGTTTTTCCTTTACAAGTTTTTCTGAAGACCTTCCCAAAATCACCAGTCTGCTTCTTTACATTAGTTGGTTCCACTTGATAGAAAACAGAGATCACTGTTTGACCAAACTCTTGTCTGCACTTGATGATCTCCACCAGCTCGTTCAAGCACCATGTCGACGATGCGTAGTTCTTCGAGAGCAAGACAATCCCAATCCTCGAGCCTTTAATAGCTTCAGTGAGCTCAGGACGGACCGACTTACTTCTCTCAATATCATTGTCAATGAATAGGTTGATTGCTTTGCTCCTAAACTCCTTGACAATGTGGCTGAGAAAGTTTGTGCGGACATCTGCTCCGTGGAAGCTTGGGAAGACATGGTGTTTCCATTTGTGAGACAAAGAAGGTTGGGGAGCCAAAACAGTTAAAGAAGAAGAAGAAGCCATTGTTTTGTTTTTT